CTAGACTGACCAGAAAAAACGAGAAAAAAAACCAAATAAGCACAATCAGAAACACAAAAGATGAAGTCATATCTGACCCTGAAGAAATACAAAAGATCATTAGAGACTACTATGTACACCTGTATGGAAACAAACTTGGAAACCTTAAGGAAATGGAGGACTTTCTGACATCACACAACCTACCTAGGTTGGAACAAGAAGAAATTGAGACCCTAAATAGACCAATAACAATCAAGGAAATTGACTATGTAATAAGAAAACTTCCTACAAAAAAAAGCCCTGGTCCAGATGACTTTCCAGCAGAATTCTACAAGACATTTAAGGAGGAGCTGATACCAATCCTACTGAAGGTATCCCAGGCTATTGAAAAAGATAGAACTCTCCCTAAATCATTTTACAAAGCCAACATCACATTGATACCCAAGCCAGGTAAAGATCCAACAAAGAAAGAGAACTAAGGCCAATATCTTTGATGAACATAGATGCTAAAATTCTCAACAAGATCCTAGCAAACCGGATTCAGCAATACCTCTCAAAAATCATCCACCATGAGCAAGTAGGCTTCATTCCTGGGATGCAAGTCTGGCTCAACATTCGTAAAACCATAAATGTAATTAAATACATCAACAGATGTCAAAACAAAAACCACATTATCATATCATTAGATGCAAAAAAAGCTTTTGATAAAATCCAGCACCCCTTCTTGATAAAAACCCTTGAACATCTAGGCATACGGGGAACATACCTCAAAATAGTAAAAGCCATCTACGAGAAACCCACAGCCAGCATACTCCTAAATGGACAAAAATTGGAACCAATTTCCCTGAAAACTGGAACTAGACAAGGATGACCACTCTCACCCCTCTGTTCAACATAGTATTGGAAGTCCTGGCTAGAGCAATCAGAGAAGAAGAGGCAATCAGGGGTATCCAAATAAGAAAAGAGGAAGTCAAGTTATCTCTCTTTGTAGATGATATGATTGTGTACCTTGAAAACCCAAGAGAATCTGTCAAAAGCCTCCTTACATTGATAAAGGCCTTTGGCAAAGTCTCAGGATACAAAATAAATGTACAAAAGACAATTGCGTTTCTCTACACCAATAATAAACAAACAGAAACTCAAATAAAAAACACAATTCCATTCACAGTAGCCACAAAAGAAATGAAATACCTTGGCATCTTCCTAACCAGAGACATGAAAGACCTTTACAATGAAAATTACAAAATACTGCTCAAAGAAATCAAGGATGACACAAACAAGTGGAAAAATATCCCATGCTCATGGATTGGAAGAATCAACATTGTGAAATTGTCCATCTTACCTAAGGCCATCTACAAATTCAATGCAATACCCATCAAATTACCAGCAACATTCTTCTCAGACCTGGAAAAAACAACGCAGGAATTCATATGGAAACACAAACATCCAAGAATAGCCAGAACAATCCTCAGCAAAAAAAACAAAGCAGGTGGTATCACATTACCAGACTTCAAACTTTACTATAAAGCTACAATCATCAAAACAGCTTGATATTGGTACAGGAACAGGCATATAGATCAATGGAATAGAATTGAGATTCCAGAAGCAATACCTCAATTTCTCAACCAACTCATCTTTGACAAAGCCCCCACCACCTACCACTGGGGAGAGGAGAACCTATTCAGTAAATGGTACTGGGAAAACTGGCTGACCACATGCAGAAGATTGAAATAGGACCTCTATCTATCCCCATGCACAAAGGTTAACTCCAAATGGATCAGAGACCTAAATGTAAAACCTCAAACCATAAGAACCTTAGAAAAGGAAGGAAATACCCTCATGGAAATTGTAGCTGGCAACCAATTCCTGAATGAAACCCGAAACCCTCAGGTCATAAGAGAGAGGATAGACAAGTGGGACCTTATTAAACTGACAAGCTTCTGCAAAGCCAAAGAAACCATCAAGAGAGCAGGGAGACAGCCTACAGACTGGGAAAAAGGATTTGCCAACTCCAGGTCTGACAAAGGCTTAACATCCTGGATCTACAAAGAACTCAAACGTGCTGAAAAGAAAAAAACAAACAACCCCATTATAAAATGGGCAAAAGATATGAACAGACACTTCACAAAAGAAGACATCTGAGCAGCCAACAAACACATGAAGAAATGTTCAACCTCACTAATCATCAGGGAGATGCAAATCAAAACCACACTGAGATACCACCTAACTCCAGTCAGAATGGCAATTATCAACAACTCAAAAAATAACAGCTGCTGGAGAGGGTGTGGTGAAAAGGGAACACTTCTACACTGTTGGTGGGAGTGTAAACTAGTGCAACCTCTGTGGAAAGCAGTGTGGTGATTCCTAAAAACTCTAAAAATCGACCTTCCACACGACCCCGCAATCCCTCTACTGGGAATATACCCAGAGGAACTCAAATCACTCTATAAAAAAGATACCTGCACACGTATGTTTATCGCAGCATTGTTCACAATAGCAAGAACCTGGAACCAACCATGCTGCCCATCAAAAGAGGACTGGATTTAAAAAAATGTGGTACATATACGCAGCCATAAAAAAGAACAAAATCATGAATTTCGCAGCAACCTGGATGGAACTAGAGTCTATAATACTGAGTGACCTCTCACAGAAACAAAGATCCGAGTATCACATGTTCTCACTCATATAATGGACCTTGAACATCCAATGTAATACTATAAGAAAACGACTGACGGTACTGGGAAACTATGGGGGGAGGGGGATGGGATTAACAGTAGCATATATCTGTCTGGGGATTGGGAAACACCTCTTATCAACAGGGTGCCTGAATGAAATGTAATTGTACACCTAACCCTTAACTGTACCCCACAAAACCATAATAAAAAATATTGATTAAATAAAAAAAGATGTTCTCTAATATAATTGCAATACCTTTATCACAAATAAAAAAGCAATCATTACCTAAAAAAAATAAATAAATAAAAATAAAAGGATGAATACATTCTCAATTTTCCTAATTGTTTAGAAACAATTTATTTTATATATTTGGAAGTATAGTTGATTAATTTCTAGACTTGAGAAATTAATTTTATTTTATTGATCTAGTGAAGGATTCAACTAGGTAATAAAAAAGTGGAACAAACTTTATTTATTTTTATTTTTTTGGACGTTCTTCTTTATGTATTTGCCTTTTGTGGAAACATTTATTAATTTTGCATTTTTAAAATTTTCAGGTAACTTGGGTTTTTACTCCAGTAACAACTGAAATAACAAGTCTTGATACAGAGAATATAGATGAAATTTTAAGTAAGTACCTTGATATTTTTAAAGTATACTTTCTTCTTTATGGAGTTAGTTTATGTACAAAAAACATGATGAGATCTCAGTTACCTAGCACAAATGAACTGTTGGCATTCTGCTTAATTCCATGGTTTACTGGACTAATAAATCATTTTTTGGTTATTTTTAGTCTTTTTTATTTCTTTGACTTTGTTACAGATGCCATTCTTAACAATTCAGAGTATATTGCTAAAGCTTATCTAGAGACCAGCCCTTCTTACTGTGCAGTATCAAATGTTAGTGACCTGAGGACCCACCCTAGAAATCCCCTTTAATTAAATCACCTATTCTGATCACTTATTGTCATTGATCTAGTTGTAAGTTCATTAAGTTTTTTACTGAATGCTTTGTTTACTGACAGTGTGATTGTATATACAAATAACTTGGAAGAAACCATTTTTCATTTTTAAAAACAGTAAAGGGAAGGTGAAGATGTGGTCAATAGAAAATTATAACTTAGGATCTTTAAGAAAGTGTACAGTGGACATGAATGAGTTCTTTTCTTAAAATATTAAAACACTCCCTTTCACTTATTGGTTTGCATATAATAAAACCAAAAGTAATAGAAGTAAAAGGAGTTATACCATTCACTGAGCATAGTGCAGTGTTTTGTATTCTTGGACCTTCAAATGCTAAAAAAAGCAAAAAAAAAAAAAAAAAATCTCATCTTATGGGATCTCTTTAGGGCAGTGGCTCCATAAACTTTAGCATGTGCCAGAATCACCCGTAGGGCTTATTAATATCAAAACTGCTAGGCCTGACCCCAGTTTCTGGCAGAAACTACTAGACCTCTACCTAAGAATTTGCATTTCTCTGAGTTCCTAGGTGATGTTGGTACTTCTGGTCTAGAAACTAGTTTGTGAGCCACTGCTTTTGAGGGAATAAGCAAGTGGATAAAAAGTGATTTTTGAGTCGGAGTCTCACTCTGTCGCCTAGGCTGGAGCACAGTGTCACACTCACAGCCACTGCAGCCTCGACCTGCTGGGCTCAAGTGATCCTTCCACCTCAGCTTTCCAAGTAGCTGGAACCACAGGCATACGCCACCAGGTCCGCCTAATTTTTAAATTTATTGTAGAAACGAGGTCTCACCTTGTTGCTCAGGCTGGTCTCAAACCCCTGAGCTCAGGCAATCCTCTTGCTTCCGCCTCCCAAAGTACTGGGATTACAGGCATGAGCCACTGTACCTGGCCTGTCATCTTTAAAATTCTAGAATATATTTGTGTTTTCATGAGTGCTTGAGGGTCTTACGCTTAAGAAACTCTGTGAATATTTTTAGACAAAAGTAACAGTGCTACATCTTTCTCATGTCTTTACATCCTGGTATGCAAATGATGCTAAGTTATTTTTGCAACATGGAATAACTGTTAAATGGATAGAAACCAAAAGAGTGCATCCTCTGCAACCCTGTTAGTTATAGATTACTTTTTAACTAGGAAGGACATCTGAGATTTAGAATTAATTTAGTTACACAGATGTCTTCTGTGATATGGGATTTTACTTACAGAATGAATTCTCAATTATTCATGAATATTGAAAGATGAAAAAAATGGATTATTAAAATTCAGATCATTCTACTTTACTTTTTATGAGAGTAGTCTTTTAGTAGTTTACTTCCTGATCTGGACTTGAATTCCCATTTGATTTCTATTCATTCATTTAAGATGCAGTGAAGGTACATGACGGATAAGAGACAAAGACTCCCACAAACTGTATAAACTGTCCATGACTATCTGTATGGGTTTGAATGAGAAGTAACTTATCGTGCTTTTTCAGTGGGTCCTTATAGTGGGAAAATATCAAATGAAACTATATCTTTAATTATGTCAAAATTATTACAAGTAACTTAGCTTGTTTGGTTTTGTTTTTCAATTTCAGACAATGCTGATGTTGCTTTAGTAAATTTTTATGCTGACTGGTAAGTAATCTTGTTTATATTGTTTGGGTTTGGGTTTTATTTGTTTTTTAGTTTTCTAAAGGTGCCATTTTTCTCTGACAGAAGAGAGGTTGGAAAAGTCTTTTTCTTTTGCAAGACGGTATTCCATAGACGAAATCAGTTAAGGTTCATCCACAAATGAAGCAGCTTAATTTGATGAAGATTACTGTTTTAAGAGAGAAATATAACTGATTCCATTATCCTATGTCTTAAAATAAAATAGGTAACATAAAAACTCAAATATGACACCCTCACTCCCCATAATGAGGAAGCACATGTTGCAGTTCTATATTTGTCCTGTGTTTTGTAGGTCAGGATTTGGATGTGGCAAGTTTGAAGGAAAAATAACGTCATTTTTTAACTTATATGTATACGAGTTGCCACTTATTCCAGGAAGACTCGCTTCCCCTGGCTGAATCTGATGCTGTTCTGTGCTTATATAATGCCCTCAATAATCCTTTTTCTTGTTAAGTATTTTGTCTTATTTGTTTGTGCCCTAGCAAACAAACTTTGAGGGCAGAGATAATGTTTTAACTCAGTATTTCCAACATCTAGAACAAAGGCATGATGTGTAGTTGATGTTACAGAATGTGGCATGGAAACAGAAAGAAGAGAGTTTTCGCTGGAGAGAAGTTTGAAACACTGGCATAATCTTTATTCCTAGATACTGTATCTTATTTGACTTTTTAATACTTACTATCTGGTAGCTGCCACTACCCTACTTCAGGTCACAGTCCTGCAATTTACTTAGAATTCATACAAGTCTCCTCATATGTTTCTATGCCTCTAGTCTTATGTATTTCCATTCTGTTCTCTGCAGTGGAAGTCAGAGTTCTCTTTCCTACTATGCAAATTACATTAGTTTATACCCCTCCTTAAAGCCTTAAGTGATTTCCATTTCCTTTGGGTTAAAGTTTAAATGCCTTATTTTGGCCCACAAGGCCCCTCATGACCTGGTCCCTCCCTCCCTCTGTAGCTTTGTCTCTTGCCTCTCTCCACTCCCTCATTCTGCTCCAATTATACTAAGCTTCTTTCAATTCCTATAAAATTCTGTGTTTGATCACTGAATGGTTAATCATGGCTGCCCTGCCTTGATGGATTATTCTTCTGTCACTCACTTTTTCTACTTAGTTAAATCTAATCATCTTTCATATCTCAGATTAGATGCCACTTTCTCCAGGTTGCCTTCCTAGATTGATATGCACACCCCTGCTCTCAAGTCAGATTAGGAACCGTCCTTATATTTCCCTTAACACCCCATACTTACCCAGGCATAACATTGTAGGCTGTCATCTAGTTGGTGGCTCCCTGCTACATTGTTCACTTTATAAAAAATAGTTAGTATAATTATATTTCCCAACATTAATCCCCAAGCACTTTGCATATATATGGCTGATAAGTACATAATAAATATTTACTGGATGAATGTATATTTTATATGGGTATTTAAAGAACTTTAACAAAAAGTTGACGATACACAGAGAAAATGCCATTTATAAAATATATTAGAAAGGTAGCATTTTCCAAGGTATATTAGGATTGTCCATATGTATTACTAATCACAAAATTTGGTAGAAGATTATATAGTCCAGTCAGTTTTAAAATAAAACAGATCCAGAGGAGTAAAGTACTTTTCCAGGGTTACTTGACTAGATGGTGGTCAAGAAAAAACTAGAATGAAGTTCTCCTGATCAGAGATTTTGTGTGTTGTAAAAAGGAGTAATAGAGCATGCTACTGACCTTTTTTTGCAAAAACTGAATTGGAAATGTAGACTAATTTCAGTTATTTAGGAAAACATATTGGAGAACATTTCAGTTATTTGGAGAAAATAATACCACGAGTTGTTCATGAATTAATACTGTTTTATTCAACTGAAATATATGGGTAATTAGCTGAAGGACATAGATTTATACCTCCAAAGCTAAACTCTACTTCCCTCTGGAAGTTACAGATAGGCACAGTTTAAGATTCTCTAACAGAGCTGCCTAAAAATATTACTGTACCTCAGAGCATAATAAACTATCGTAGGTGCTTAAGAATGCTGTTATTTGCCAGACTCTTTACATACATTGTTTTTAATACCAAAATTACCCTGCAGATAGGTATTATAATTTCCATTTTAGGTTGAGGGGATTGAGTCTCAGAAAGGTCATACAACTAGTAAGTGATAGAACTGGGATTAACCTCAGGTATGTCTGACTCCAGAGATTTTTTTTCCCCTCTGTCATATTAGTTAGTAAGTGCTCCCAAAGTGCTCCTGAAAAGAATTTTACCTATTTGGTTGATTTGTATTGAATTGATTTAAGCACTAGATTGGAGATTAGGTTTAGATGACCCTTAGGCTCTTTTAATAGAGCCACCACTTTTATGATTGTATTTATTATTATTAGTTTTTGCATCAGAGTCTCACTTTGTCACCCAGGCTGGAGTGCAGTGGCATGGTCATGGCTCACTGCAGCCTCGACCTCCTAAGCTCACATGATCCTTCCACTTCAGCCTCCCAAGTAGCTGGGACTACAGGTGCATAGCACCCAACCAAGCTATTTTTTTATTCTTTGTAGAGTTAAGAGTCTTGCTGTGTTGCCTAGACTGGTCTTGAACTCCTGGGCTCAAGCAGTCCTCCCACCTTGGCCTCCCAAATGCTGGGATTACAGGCCTGAGCCACTGCTCCCAGCCTGATGTTACTTTTATAAATGTAACATTTCCATGTGTATGGATACAAGTGTATGATGGTATAGTATTATTGAAATGGAACTTTTATTTTGTCTTCCCTTTTTACCTTTTGTTACAATATGAGTATCCCTTATGGGAAATGCCTGGGGCCAGAAGTGTTTCGGTTTTGGATTTTTTCTGATCTGGGGATATTTGCATTATACTTACTGGTTCAGCATCCTTAATACCAAAATCCAAAATGCTCCAGTGAACAATATTTCCTTTGAACATCATGTTGGCACTTAAACAACTTTGGATTTTGGAGCATTTTAGATTTCAAATTTCTGGATTAGGGATAGTCAACCTGTATTAAGGCAGATTCTATTTTAAACATGATCCTGTGCCTAAATACTTACTGGGAAGAAAACTGGACAATCCATAGAGAAGGAACCCTTGATGTGTGTCTCTACCTTGCCCTTAAGCCAGAAAGAAGCCTGTCCACTACATTTTACTAGGCCATATCCAAATTCTTCAAGAAACCATTAACTAGTCTCTACTTATTTCTCCCCCTGTCCTCTAGCTACCTCATTTTCAACAAACCAGGGGTCCTAGCCTCTCCAATTCTTCCATTTTATCAATTTATTCATTTAACAGACATCTGTTGAATACTTATTAAAATACATAGTCAAATAAAACACAGTCCATGGTGTTCAGACCCCACCCACCTATCCCTGATGGGAGAGATTTAAGAATGCTAAAAGAAGAAAAAGCCATTAGAAAGCAAGAGAAGGAAGATACAGATTGTGTAGCCTTGATATTTTCTAGGATTTCTCCTTAAAAAGTCAGATGAGTAGGTTAGAAGAGACGTATATGAGAAGAAATAGGGAGGAAATAAAAAGTTTACATACATTTACAACTTTATAGTGTTTTTATTGGATTATATAGATACTATGTATGACCTGGTCATGTATGGATTAAACAGTTCACAGGCATCACTGAAATAAATTTCTTGGTGGAAAAGGGCTCTGGAAGCAATAGTAGTAATTGCAGCTTGTTTGTTGGTATCCTCAATACATGTTCCATAAGAGACAGACCTTCCTAACCTAGCTGGTTGTATGTTGATTCTGATTGTTCTTCTCTTATCGTGTCCCTTTAATGACCCAGAGCATATATAGTCGTGTGCCAAATAATGATGTTTAGATCAGTAGCAGAGTTCCAATAAGATTATACCATATTTTTACTATACCATTTCTGTATTTAGATACACAAATTCTTACCATTGTGTTACAGTTGCTTACAGTAACATACTTTACAGGTTTGTAGCCTAGGAGCAATAGGCTATATCATCTAGTGTAGGTGTGCAGTAGGCTATGCCATCTAGGTTTGTGTAAGTATACTTTATGATGCTGCACAATGAAGAAACTGCCTAATAATGCATTTATCAGAATATATCCCTGTTGTTAGGCACTGCATGACTGTATTTGTGAAGTGGTTGGCCTTATTAAGGGACAGTCAGAATTAGAAGTAACAAGTTTGTGGAATATTGTGAGGTTTTTGCCCTGTTTTTTTTTTATTTTTATTTTTATTTTTTTATTTTTTTTTTGAGTTGGAGTCTCACTCGGTTGCCCAGACTGGAGTGCAGTAAAAGAAAGTAAATATAGACAGTAAGTCTTGTTTAGGATTTAAGCTATTTGCTTCTGGACTTAGTGTTTTAGTGTGTTTACAGATATAATTGCCTATTTTAACAAGGGTAAAATTTAAGGGGAAACTGTGCATTATATGCAATATATCCTTTTAATACAGCTTATTTAATATGCTAATTTACCTATGAGAGTTGACTGAATTAGCCGGGTGGTATATTCTAATATTTGCAATAAACTTAAAAGATTTTGTTTAGTAGTCTAAAATTTTAATTATTTTCTGTATTTTATTAAGTACTTTCTGTATTTTAATTACTTTCTGTATTTATTGTATTGTATTGTATTTTAGACAGGTTCTCGCCCTGTTGTCTAGGCTGGAGTACAGTGGCACAATCATAGCTAATTTATAGCCTGGAACTCCTGCTGGGCTCAAGTGATCCTCCCACCTCAGTCTCCTGAGTAGCTAGTACCACAGGCATGCACCACTACCCATGGCTAATTTTTAAAACATTTTTGTAAAGGTAGGGTCTCCCTATGTTTCCCAGGCTTATGTATTATTTAGAAAAAGCTGATTTGTTTTATAAGTGCTCAAGCTCCAGTAGTTACAAGTTGTAGTAGTACTTGTTAGAGGGCTTATTTCAGGCTTGTTTCATGACCTCTGCAAGAGATTCTTTGCTGCACGAGCTGTAATACTGGCAATTATCTTAGGTGAAAAAAAAAACCCCAAATCTTTTAATTATATATGTTAAATTATATACACTCTTAGAGTTGGAATAGTCCTAGAATTCAAAATTTTCATTATTTCCATTGAATGACATTCAGGCCCATGATTAAATTATGCATGTTATTATCTCACACATTGTTTATTGTACCTGTGCTAAATATCAATGGGAGATAACTGAAATAAGTTTTTAATTACTTCTGTTTTTTCATTTCTAATTGACATCCTTCTCTGTATATAGGTGTCGTTTCAGTCAGATGTTGCATCCAATTTTTGAGGAAGCTTCTGATGTAATTAAGGAAGAATATCCAAATAAAAATCAAGTAGTGTTTGCCAGAGTTGATTGTGATCAGCACTGTAAGTACCTCAATAGGAAGTTTAAAAGAAACTCTCTTATTTCCATCTCTCCTACACACACACTTTGCTTCTCTTTTTTTCTTTTTCTTTTTCTTATTATTTTTTGAGTCAGGGTCTTACTCTTTTGCCCAGACGGGAGTGCAGTGGCACAATCACGGCTTGCTTCAGTCTCAAACTTCTGAGCTCAAGCGATCCTCCTGCCTCAGCCTCCCTAACTGCTGAGATTACAGGTGGACACCATGCTGGGCTAGTTGTTTTTTTTTGTTTGTTTTTTTGTTTTTTTTAAGAAACAAGCTCTCATTGTGTTGCCCAGACTGGTTTCAAATTCCTGGGCTCAAGCAATCCTCTTGCCTCAGCTTTCCAAAGAGCTAAGATTACAGGCATCCACCACTCCTAGCCTTCTTTTCTTTTTTAAATGCTCTGCCTTTTGTGGGAGAGCAAACTGACAAGATTCTAGAGAACTTGGTTAAATTGTTACTGTTTAACTTTTGTGTATTTTATGACACTACTTTCCATTGTGCTTCTGTGAAGGGTTTTTGTTATTTAAAAAAATTAAATATATAGTAGATCAAGCATTGGGATAGAAAATCATAACTAGCAATGTTTTCTACCAAAGCAAATGCCAAAATCAATAAATTGAAATGTAGTCTTAGCAAGAAAAAAATGAATGTGATCGTTTTAGAATTATATGAAAATACCATTTGTAAGTCATTTCAAATAAGATGATCTCAGATAAGAAGAGTTCAGTATCTTTATTTTAAAGATTCTACTAAGATTGGCCTAGACTATCTTGGAGGTGTAATTAGCTATAGTTACTGATCATGATTATTGAGAGCATTAAGAAACTTAGGTTAGAGTCTTAAAATCCTTCTAATCTCTTGCAATTTGCTTGTCCCAGTAAACAGTCTCTATAAAAACTTCATGATTTTCTGTGAACATGATGGATTTCTCTAAGTTGAACTACTGAACTTGCTAGTGGTGTTTCCTCCTGAGTGTTCCTGTTACATTTGAACTTTCTCCCTCATAGTACCAAACCCACTGCGTTTGGTGGTTCTGGTTCATTTTGTCTTAGTTGTCTCATCAGCTGTGTTGTCAGTTCTTCAAGGTAGGAATTTTTTTTCTTTTTTTTTTAATGTTTCCTTTGAAGAGGAGACCGACCTACTCATTAATCTTTGTATCTCAAGTATCTGACAGTCTGAGAGATAGACACAGGTCATTAAAATCTTGTTTCATTGAGTTATTTGCAAGTTGGCCTGAATACAGAACTGACTCCTGTTCTGCAAGTTTTCTATTCTTTATACTTAACCTACTGATTAGAATTGGTATGTGTGTATACACTAACTTTTCATTTTACTGACAAGGAAATGGAAATAAAGTGGTTTAACCAATGTTATACAGCTTAATGTCTGGTCAGGCCAGAATTAGAATCCTGATCTCCTGACCGAAAGCCTTTGTTTGCTCCTTGCTTTTAAACATTTTGGAGATTTATTGGTCTAGCTCTGTGCTAGCCAGAAAAGCATTTTCTAACAACAAATCATTTCAAAGTCTTATAAGCCGTACCCCATATTTCTGTCTGCTGAGATTCATAACTAGATAGGGTGAAGGGAGCAATAAAAGGTTGTCAGTACACGCATGGGCTACATTTTCATACTGCTTTCAAGATATTTTCTCTGACTTTTCAACTGACAGAGAACATGAAGCTTGTGGTGTGGATTCTCACTTCAAATTTTTTTATTTAATTAGGCATTACAGTGCAGGTAAGAGTCCCTACTTTTACTAAATTTGAGCCACAGAACCTGAAATTATGCTCTAAAACTTACAGTCAATGGTAAGAAAAATTGATATTTATATTATTGAGTCATAAATATCATTTACTCTATGTTTTAAACAGATAACTTTTAAAGAAAATTTGACATTGTTGCTAGTAAGTTTTCTTTTTAGCAAATAGCCACAGTACATATGCTTTTCAGTCTACTAGAGATGTCTGTAAAATTAGTTACTAATGAAAATAAGGAAATTAGTTACGGATGAAAGTTATATCTAAACTATTGCATATTCTCTCTAAAGATTTTTTTCCTCTTTGTAATTCTTCACTTAAAAAACGACATCATGAAATGCTTATTGATGATCTGTTTACAAATTCCACACTCTTTAGTGATTTTAAGATAGACTATACTTTTGTTGACCCCTTATGTGTCAATTGAATTATAGAGGTTTTGAACTGAAAGAATCTTAAGAATTCTATGTTCTTTTTTTTTCTTTTCTTTTCTTTTTTAAAACAGGAAACAAAACCTAGTTTATTTACTGCTGAGGCAAAAGGGTACGCCAGGAAAATGCTAACTAAAAGAAAACTGTTTTTTCTCTAGGGGAGAAATATTGCTAGTGAAGGAATATCTCTTCATTTTGAGATGATTAAATTCAATAGAAAGACATAATTGAAAGTTATATGAACCTTAATATAACTTCAAAAATAGATGAAGTAAAAATTTGCAGAACTTTAAGAGAAAATAGGCAAATCTACCGTCATAGTGGGAGATTTTAATAAAACCTCTTTCAGTAATAAGACTAATAGACTAAAGAAAAAAATATACTAAGGATATATAACATTGGTACACCACAATTAACAAATTTCACATAATCATAGATCGATTATTTCCATAAATGGAATACTACATTAGTCAGTTGCAAGAAATTCATTCTTTAGAGGTCCACAAGGAACATTTATGAACATCAACTACATATCAGTCCAAAAAACAAGGTTCAAAAAATTTAAAAGATTTTTATTCTATAGGTTATATTCTCTAATCATAGCTTAATTAAGCTAGAAAGAGAAATGAGGCAAAAAATGTTCATTTATTTAGGAATTAGAAAGCATACTTCTAAACATTCCAAGGCCAAAGGAGAAATAAAAAGAACTACTGCATATTTAGAATGGAAGAACGTTGAAAATATCACTTAAGACAAATTTTAGATTTCCACTGAAGCTATATTTTGAGAAAAATTTATATTCTAAAAAATAGACAGGAATTTTGGTAGAAAATTAATGACTTGGGTACAGAATGCCATGTTCTGAATAGAAATTCCCGATAGGCAAATTGTTCTTTGGTAATATTTGTTTTTTCCAACCATTTAAATGACTTTAATTTTCATACTCACACAGGTACCATTGCTTTGAAAATAGATTGCTCAGTCCTAAAAAACAACTTTGCTTTTTTTAAAAAGAAGTTTTTTTGAAATTTATTGAGGTTAATTGACATATAATAAACTGCACAAGTTTAAATGGTACAATTTTATAGATTTTGATACATGTATATATTCATGAAGCCACCACCGCAATCAAGATATCAAACATTATCTGTCCTTCCCCACAATTTTACTTGTACCCTTTTGTGGTCCCTCTCTCCCCTCTTTCCCCCACATCCATCGTCCTCAGGGGACCATCTGCTTTCTGTCACTTTAAATTAGTTGGCATTTTCTAGAATTCTATATAAGTAGAATCACATAGTATGTATTTGCTTCTTGTCTGGTTTTTTTGTTGTTGTTGTTTTGGTTCCAGCATGTTTAGTTTTTGATTATTCCATGTTTCATGTGTCATTCATTTTTATCATTTAGTTGCTTTTCATTATGTGGCTGGCTCTATATACAATGTATTGATCCATTCACCTACTGACAAACATTTGGGTTGTTCTACCTTTTAGCTATTACAAATAAAGCTGCTATGAACATTCAGGTGTAAGTCTTTGTACATGCATTTGCTTTCATTTATCCTGGGCAAATGCCTAGTTGTAAAACGCCTGCATTATATGGTAGATGTATGTTTAACTTTTTGAGAAATTACTGTTTTAAATATCCACTAGTATATGAGGCTTCCAGTTGTCCCATATTCTTGTCAACACTTGAAATGGGCAGACTATTAAATTTTACTTATCCTAATGCATTTGAAGTAGTGTCTTTTTGTGGTTTAATTTGCATTTTTCTAATAATTAATGATGTTAAAAATATTTCATGATTATATGACATTTGTGTATTTGTGAAGTGTCTGTTCACATCTTCTACATTTCTATTGGATTATTTTTTTTCTTACTGAGTTTTGAGAGTTTTTATGTATTATTAATACAAATCTTTTTTCAGCTGTGTAATTTGCAAATATTTTCTCCCATTCTACTCTCTTGAGGATATCTTTTTAAAAACTGTGTGTAAAATACACATAATATAAAACTTACTATCTTACTGTTTTTAACTGTACAGTTCAGTAGTGTTACATTAGTGTTCAACCAGTCTGCAGACCATTTTCGGTCTTGCAAAACAGAAACTCTGTACCTGTTGTGCAACAACTACCCACTGTCCCCTTGCCCCAGTTCCTGGCAACCACCATTCTACTTTCTGTAGGAATATGACTACTCTAGATACTCTATATAATGGAGTCATACAATATCTGTGTTTTTATGACTGGCATGTTTCACTTAGCATAACGTTCTTAAGGCTTATCCATGTTGTAGCATGTCTCAGATTTCCTTCCTTTTTAAGACTGAATGGTATTCCATTTTGTGTATGTATCACATCTTTTTCATCCATTTGCCCACTGATGGACACTTGTCTTGCTTCTACCTCTTGGCTTTTGTGAATAATGCTGCTATGAACATGGGTATACAAACATCTCTTAGGGACCTTGCTTTTAATTTCTTTTTGGATGTATACCCAGCAGAGAATTGTTGGATTTTATGGTAGTTGTTTAATTTGTGAGGAACTACCATATTGTCTTTCACAGTGGCTGCACCATTTTACATTAGTAGAGGCCAAGGGTTCTAATTTCTCTACACACTCATCATTACCTGTTATTTTCTTTTTTTATTGTTGTGGGTGGTGGGTTGTTCTTTTTTGTTTGTTTGTGTGTTTGTTTGTGTGTTTATTTGAGATGATATCTCACTATGTTGCCCAGGTTCATCTTTGGGCTCAAGGGAACCTTCTGCTTCAACTTCCTGAGTAGCTGGGACTACAGG